TAACCAGTGAGTGGTGTGTGTGTGTGTTGCGCAGCAAACGTTTAATGCACGGAAGTTCAAGTGCTAAAAGTAAGGATTTGGTTTTCCGGTATATCGTGTCTCAATGCAGGACATGTTAAGAACCAGCGTCCTCCTAATGTATATCCATGCGCCGAAGCTTTACTGATAGACAACAGTCTGCCTCCACATTCATTCACTTGTTAGAGAATAAAATCAAACAGGATTATGCTTTCACATCTTTAGAGCTTCCCCAGCCCCCACTTCCATTGTGCAAAAGCACTACAGCTCTGGATAAGCTATTGCACAAATTGTGAGTTTGATGGGTCTGATGTGAGAAGTGTTTAAGACTGGAGGCTCACTGATGCTTCACCGTGACATCACAGAAGGCTTTCAAAACATAGTCAACCGTGAAACCTTTTTCTGTTTCATTGGATCGATAGGACGGGTGACTGAGGTCAAGACAGACATCTATGTGACCAGTTTTGGGCCTGTCTCGGATGTGGAAATGGTACGTACCCTGATATCCCTTTTAATACTGCCAATCCTAACTTCACACTAAGTTCAGACAAATCTGGTTGTCACAGAAGAGCACGGGGAAAACCTTCGCTAAAACATGAGGTTTAAGCCACCAGACCCCCTTGGACATGCCGTAACCATGGACCGGTATCGCTCCGACCCACGTGACCTATTGATGTTTGTCTTGCGTTCGCCAATGTCCCGGTCTCTAGGAGTACACAATGGACGTGTTCTTTCGGCAGCAATGGGTGGACCGGAGGCTGATGTATGAGGGACCCATAGAGATTCTGAGGCTGAACAACCTGATGGTCACCAAAGTGTGGACGCCGGACACCTTCTTCAGGAACGGGAAGAGATCTGTGGCTCACAACATGACGGCCCCCAACAAGCTTTTCCGCATCATGAAGAATGGCACCATCCTCTACACCATGAGGTACAGTAGGACACTCCATCGTCACACAGACCATATCGGGATCAGACCAAACTTCTCCTAATGGGCTGTGCCTTTTACCTTCTTCTTTAACACTAATGTCTGTGAAATGGGATCTTTGCCTAATACTATATTTTTGCTGTGTGTAACAAACTTTGTGTGATTTAAAGCGGTTGAGCAGATTAGCTGTGAAGTCGTTGTGTAAACGGATGGAGCTGTGTGGAGGCAGTACAGAGGCTGCCACAACCTTCCATTCGATGTAACAGAGACATAACTGCTTCTTTTCCTCTTTTTTGTGAGAAGGGATTTAGTGTGTCACAGTGCTGATGGGTATTTATGTCACATGGAACAACAGCAGGGCTCTGCAGCCAATCGCTGCGATTTCTCTACTGCTAGTTAACAGCAGGATATGCTTACATTTAGTGTGTGTGTGTGCGTGTGTGTATTTGTCCCTTTACTGAGCAACTTTTCTCTCGACTGCGACAGGTTAACCATCAGTGCCGAGTGTCCCATGAAGCTTGTGAACTTCCCCATGGATGAACATGCGTGCCCCCTCAAGTTTGGAAGCTGTAAGTCCTGTGTGTGTGTGTGTGTTTGTGTGTGTGAGTGTGTAATACTGCAGCGCCTCTGAAAAAGGAGGTTAAACACAGGCCTGAGAGCGTAAAATGTATCTACTGCTTGACCTTTGACCCCCCTACAGAGTATAATAAATGTAGAAGTTGTGCAATTTTGTCCTTCTCAGACAGGAGGCACGTGCAAAAGATGCCATTTACACAGTGGGAAAAGACAGCTGATGGTGTTGGCTCCACCGTGCGTGGTGTAACATGAATCACTAACGCCGCTTTGTGCGTGACTCCGCATTGTGGCAGCTGTGAACAAATAAACCGTGTTGCTGGGAAGCCCCCACGCTGCATTGTGTGTGCTGCGTTCCCCTTGTGCGGTGTCACAGGAGACCCGGCGGGTCACTTGGCATTACTACCTGTTTAGTGTCGCAATTTGCACGTAATACACAGCGGGTAGTTTTTCAGAATGTGTTACCCTCAAAGGCTGTTGCCTCCATCTCAGGGAAGTCTGCTGGCTCCGTCCGAAATCTGCCTTTGTTCTTCTAGTTGTGCACAAACTCAAGTGTAAAAGCAGGACATTTTTGATTGTTTTTTTCAGAGGATATATTCATGATAACAAACAGCACATGTGGCACATTTAGTTGGAGTTGTTTGAGAGTTTATGGAGGTGTCTGACAGAAGCCCGATCACATGACCGTCATGAAATGAAACACTCGCTCGGTGGCGAGAGGAGAGCTGAGCACAAAGAATCCTAATACTAATAATGAATATTTAATTGTTCACTGGGAACAATGGAGTGCTGGCTCAGCACCAGTGTTCATGGTGGATCCCACTGGTCAGCAGAAACAACTTATCTGAAATAAAAAGAGTTTCTCGGCTCCGTCTTATCGGAGAAGAGCGGCGATTTGAAGATTACATCTGCAGGAGAACGGGAAGGGAAAAACCCAGTGTGGTGACATTGCAGAGGGCAAATTCACATTTCCCTGTTATTGTCATCTACTGCCCCCCCCTCCCCCCACACTCTCCCCATCCATTGTCCTCCTCTCACCACCCTGCGCTGCTGCTGCTCGCCTCCAGTCAGGTGGAAGCGACCATGGATCTGATGTGGCCTGAAGCGAAGGAAAGGTCATAATCCCTTCTCCTGCCTCAGGATAGCACAGACCTATGCAGCTATTTTCCGTAGCTGAGATGTGTATGCGTGTGTGTGTGTGTGTGTGTGTGTGTGTGTGTGTGTGTGTGTGTGTGTGTGTGTATTTATGTGTGTGTGCCTGGCCTTTCCTCCTTCCTCCATCACTCTTTCTCTCTCGTTCCCTCTCTCCATCTCCTTTTTCTGTTTCTCCATCTGGACTTGGGTGGCGTTTCACTGCGTGACACACCAGAGGCATTTTGTTTTGGCAGCACAGTTGGTATCCTGCCGATGCCGAGTACCACAGGGAGTGGCAAGCAAAGACCACCGCCGTTTAGACCGGCCAACCTGGTTAGGATGCATGCAGCTAAACACTGGGGGGAAAAAAAACCTTAGCATTTCAAATACTGTGACGTCAGACACAGTGGAGATGCGATCTGTCGACGTGATGCACTAGCGAGTGAATAAATGACAGACGGGCCCTCTAACAACTTTGACTGCAAACACTAGTCTCAGCGGGTCGGACAGAGTGGAGAGGATGTCGTCATGTATTTGTCTATCAGCAGATGCAAGGCAGCGATCGTCCTCATAAATTAAGTTTGAAAAGAATTGAAGGGCCATTCTGGCCCTTAAAGATGAATTAGTCAGCGGAGGGTTTTAGTGTCCTGTGATGCTGCTTCAGAGGCTTTCCACCCACACTTAATACAAGTAAATACGTCATCAAATATTATGATCTGAATGCGGTTCCCCTCGGATGTAAAGTTTATAAGTGTCTTTCCGCCCCTTGTTTTGGTTAATCGCATACGAATGTAGCACTTTCTTATATTATCAGCATCCAATATATTCTAACTGATCTAACATCGGCTGGGAGAGACATGAGACCGCTTTTCTCTCTCTCGTTTTCCCTTCAGTTCTCCGTCATTTCCCCTCTAAAATTAGGAAAATAGCGTTAGGATCACAACGTGTTTCTATTTACAAGCAGGGAAAGCAAGTCGGATAAGAAACTATCAAGGTTTCTTGCTGTCTGCCCACAGATGCCTATCCTAAGACAGAGATGATCTACAAGTGGACCAAAGAGCCTCAGCAGTCAGTGGAGGTCCCTCCTGAGTCCTCCAGCCTCGTTCAGTATGATCTCATCGGACAGACGGTCTCCAGCGAAACGATTAAATCCATCACGGGTGAGACATGTTTGTCCTCCTACCAGTTTGTCTTATCAAGTGAAATGGCTTTCTTTGCTTGGAAGATTGCAAAAGAGTGTCAATTATTCCTTTTTCAAGAACAGATGTTTCCATGTATTATACTGTGTCCAGGAGGTGGACTACCATGTCTAGACGGTATTTTCCGCATGAATGACAGCACAAACACCGTAGAAGGGCAACATACTCCGTTGTGCCTCGACCGGCAGACGGTACCAGCCTCTTTAAATCAATCTTGGCAGCTTCATGCATTGAGGCACTTTTGGATAAATAAATACTGAAGGCTTACAAAAAAGATATTATCTGCAGAAAGTTGGCTGCCACGTGTCCGTCTGGGTGAAAATGGACGCGGTCGCTAAAATATAGAGGAGCTACAAATAAAAGCCATCAAAAAATAAAAGGCGACATCTGTTTGAAGCTAAGTCAAAGTGAAAATCTAATTTGTCAGCTCAGAGACTTGAATTATTTGTTAATCAAACTAGTTCCCTTTTGTTGATCCTCCAGGTGAATATGTGGTGATGACGGTCTACTTTCACTTGAAACGTAAAATGGGCTACTTCATGATTCAGACGTATATCCCCTGCATAATGACAGTAATCCTCTCCCAAGTGTCCTTCTGGATAAACAAAGAATCGGTCCCGGCACGCACAGTCTTTGGTATGTAGACCTCGCACATCCCTCATCCTATGTTATGTATTTTTTATATCACTCCTGCTGCATGCGCGTCTCACCACTCTGCCCTAGAAGGTGCTGTCACGGTGCAAGGTAATTAGGAATGTAAAGAACTGCTGTGTTTTTTCTGCTCAGGATTGCTTCATACAATGCTAATTCACTGATATTTGTTTGAAGACTTTAAGAGGTTTGAAATGCTGGAATAAACAGCTGACAGCATAAATCATTTTGTCATCTTCTAAGCTTAGACCAGAAATAATGCTGCTTTTGGTTCTCAGAAAGTGAATGATACAGAATCTTCTCTAGTAATATAAATTCAACTCTAAATGGGTTTAATCTCTTGTAAAACCGTGATACTGTTTAAGGTTTTGGGTGTTGCTCGGCTAAGCTAGCTGCTAGGCTAAGCTAGCTGCTAGGCTACTTCCATCTCAACATCTACCCTCCGCGGCACACGGTCTGAAGAGGAGAGCCACTACGCAGCCAATACACGCTTTCTGAAGTGATTATTCATAACTTGTATTTAGTCTTTAGAAAAAAAAAACTTTTAATCGCGATTACTTGCGATTAATGAATTTCAAGATGTGCGATTCGTTTTTTAATCTATTGACAGTAACAATAAATCATAATAATTTAATTTCCTTTCTTTTCATGGAAATAACAGTATATACACATAATACACAATATTATATATATATATATATATATATATATATATATATTTTCTTCTATGCATTTCTAGACATCCCCAAAAAGTGATCACATTTTGTGAGCACTTTGCTCCAAACAGATAGTCCCAGATGCAGTTTTGATCAAAAGTATAATAATGAGACTTATTCATTAACATACGCGTAGTAATGTTGTTACTTTGGCCCCTTAATTAAACAAATCAGATCAATGTGATCAGATCACACTACACTAATATGATTTGTATGATAATATGAACAGAATTACATTTTAATGGTGGCTAGTGGTTGTTTCTAACTTGATTGACCCTTACCCAATAACTCAAAGATGTTCTAAAAGTCCAGACAATTAAAGCTTAGAAATACCTAATATATTATAAATATGACAATAGTGGATGAGAAAAATCAGTTCTAAATATATGTTTAAAGACCATTAAGGTAAGACGCATTAAATAAGTCCCGGATTTGTGCGTAAAAACGTTCGCACACACGGTTAAAGGACAGATTTGTACGGGTTTGTGAATGAGGCCCATCAACTTAAGCTAGCTAAGTCATAAGTAGGTGAAAGCGCCACACAGAGCTGCTGATGCTGGAACAGTGTGACTGGCTGTTATAGCCCAAAATTGCAAATTACAAATTTGCCTCAGAGGGCTTTACAGTTTGTAAAAATAAAGCTCCCTTCATACATCATAAAACTGACTGTGTTATATTGACTAGAATGTCAGTCAATAATAATGGTGTGGACACTTGTCCTCCATTTCAGAAGTACTTGTGAGAGATCATCAGCTCGTAGCAATATTTTGAAGAGGCAATTTTAGTGAGAATGGAAGACAAAACGTGAGTGTTGGTGGTAATTAATGATTGTTGCAGCAGCTTTGTGACATGCCTGTTTATGATGCCAGAAGTATGTGACGTCATTTCATGAAAGTGGTCTGTTAGTGAAAAAGTCTGAACATTTGAGCGTTTTCACTTGGTCGGTGTGCGTGGCACCACGGCTACCTATGGCAGGACCTGGTGTTCATGGTTCTTTCGGAGAAGGATTCATTTTAACAATGTGACAGCCATGCGCTATGCAGGCATAAAACTTCACAGGTGTGTGATTGAGATCAGGACGAAGGCCGGTGGGAAGATGGATGCGTTGGTGTCAAGACTTTGGCGCCTCAAGAAGGTTTCTAGTTCAAGATGGTTTTGTTGGTTTCAGTGAAAATGCACCACTTTCTAAAAAGATTTAATGATTATAACTGATAAGCTGCCACTTTAGCCACATCAATTCCATTCAAATTGTGATACAATTATTTAGTATCGCCCATAATCACAAATTTTCTTTGGAGGGCTTTATAGTCCGCACACATGCAACATCCTCTGTCCCGAAACCTTAGAGGAGACCTTAGAGCAGGATCCCTCTCCCGGGATGGACAGAATGCACGTAATGAACAACGTAGAAGACGTACAGTACGTTCAATTCATACGACAGAATGTTTGAAATACTCAGAGGCAGGTGTACGGCAGGACCACTGCAGGGAACCACCATCAGACATAACCAGCATCCACAGAAACTTGTGGGGAGGGAAAGCACAAAGACTTCCGGTGAGAAGCCAAGTTTTTAATGTTGGTTTACGAGACTAATGTTATTAACTATAAGCATTATCAAAGAGGAGTCTCCGGACTGAAAGTAGAAGCTGGTTCCGCAAAAGAGGAGCTTGAAGGCTCTGGCACCCATCCTACTTTTTAAGGCTCCAGGAACCACAAGTAACCCATGGAGCACAGCCTTCTAGTAGGCATTTTTGTATTATAAGCTGTTAAGACAGCGCTTGACCAGGTTTTGATTTTCCATTAACAATGACAATTGAGTATGGTCTCCAAAACGAGTTTATGCCGTGTTTTCTGATAACATCGCATAAAGGAAGCAAATACATGGTAGATCAAATTTAACCAAGTACAGAACCCTGTGGGACGCCGACAAATGTTCTTGTCTTCGTATTTGCACAATCCCCACAATACAAAATAAAAAATAAGCAAACACGATAGAAATAAATGAATACCACTGGGCAGGAAAATACAAAAAGGCAACTGGGCTTATTCATTATAGAAAATCAGCCAGTCAGTAATTAACTTAACTTTGAAGTTGAACTTGAGATGATCAAGAATATTTCCTTCACCTAAAAGTGTCTTATACAATACAAAATACATACATACAAAAATACAAGTTAAAGAAATACTAATGTGATAAATGTAAGAATGTTTTTGAAATAAAGGAGCAGTTGAGATGTAGGACTGAGATCGTGTTGACATCCTAACAAACTGTTTCTAGAAGACCAACATTCTTTGCAGAGAAGTAGGAAAAGTACTGACTTAGGCTCCAACTTAGGCTTTCATCAGTAATTATTCCTAAAAACATTGTAGATGAAACTAATTTCCATTAAATCCTTTAAGTAAGATTTGCCACTAAAATTTGATTTTTTGATATTCAAAGATAGCTCATTTAACATGCAGAACAGGCATTGGCTTCCATAATCAGTGAGTTGAATTATAGGAAAAAGGCTTTTTGAAACATTGGACAAATCAGTGATATAAATTAGGAATAATAATGTACCAAGAATGGACCCATGAGGAACCCCGCATATTAGTCTATCTTTTGTTTGAATAACAACCTTCAACACAAACAAACTGTCTTCTGTTGGTGATATAACTTTCTAACCATTTGTATGCAGTGTCATGGAATCCATATTTATGCAGCTTTTCCAATTGAATATTGTGGTTTACTGTCTCAAAGCCTTTAAAAAAGTTCTATGAAAATAGTGCACATAAATTCATTATTGTCCGCTGCACAGATAACTTTATCAACAAGGTAAAGTAAAGCAATTTATGTTGAATGATTTTCACAGAATAAGGTGAAGATGTGAACAAGTGGCTGCAGCATTGACTGTTAACCATTACCTGTTTGACAAGAAATTCTGAAATGTTGTGGTGGCCAGCCGAAGATGTTTTGAGATCATCAATTATATTGCTTATTTCTTGAATATCTGGGGGCATAAAATTTGAGATAGTAGAGACATTTATTGGAACAAAATCCAGTGGATTCCCGTGACAAGATGGAATATTGTTAGCTAAATCCTGAAAAATTATATTCATTCATTACATTTTTGAGCGATGTCAAACCGGTCGTCAAGAGCATTGTCACCATCCAACAAGGCGGAAGGAAACCCGTTTGTAGTCTTTTCTCTTTGCAACACCTGATTTATTACGTTCCATAGATTTTAAGAAACGTTATACTTACATTTTTCTTTTTTGCAGTCCTAAGGGTATAATCCTTTCTGCAGGATTTATATGCACCGTTAGACAGAGGAGTAGGAGTTGAATGATATTTTCTGTACAGTTTATTTTATGTCTTCAGTAGCTCTCTTAATAGCTTCCTTTCCCTGGCGGTACAAGTAGGGAAACACATTGAAACCAAAGTTAATAACTTTCATGAACTTCTAATACGTCAAATCCGCGTTATTGACCATCTTCCCATGAAACACTGGTAAGAAAATCTTTAAATTTAGAAATATTTGATTTGCTCATAATTATTTTCTGTATCATATTCTTAGTATGTTTAGCTCTCTTAATCTCCATTACAGAGAATTGAAAAATGGGAAAATAGTCGACCAAGTCGGAATACAAAACTCCAGATTTGGTCCCTTCACTGTGATGTTATCAATCAAAGTCACTGAATTTTCCGTAACTGCTGTTGCTTTATGAATAAGAGGGAAAAAGGATGTAGAGGAAAGAACATTAATAAAATCCCCAGCATGTAGTTGATTTTTAGAAGGTCTATATTGAAATCGCTTTAAATGTAACAAAGTTTATCCTCATCAGGTCAAGAGAACAACCTAGACTGTCATTGAAAACTCTGATGACAGTCAGGTGTGGCAATAAATGGCACCAACAATTACATTTTCTTTCCACCAGTGGCATCAGAGAGCTGTAAAAAAACAGATTCCACCTCATCCCTCTCTGATTTCTAAGTGAGATCATACCTAATTTTAAAATCAAAGTCACTATGAATAACTAGAGATACTCCACCTCCAGACCTATTCCCCCTTACATGATGAACGGAGTTGTATTTTGGTATTTTATAGAAGTCTCTTAAGTCCTCCGTAAGCCATATTCCTGACAGAAAAATCATGCTTCAGTGAGGATAAATGATGAATTAATTTGTCATAATTGCTAGAAAGACTTCTTATATTTAGATGTATTCCATGGCAGAGAAAAACGTAAATCATTAAACTTGGTTTCATCATAAAAACTACAAGGTTAGATGAAGAAGTGATGAAAAAAATGTAAATCAGGATCACAAGGGATCAAAAGGTCTGGCCTTCCAGATCAGATGTGTTGTGGACCATAATGTATGTTGAGAATCATGAATACAGATTAAAACAAGATCTAAAAAAATGCTGAAGTTGTAGGCCTGAGCCCTTTAAATGCTTTATGTAGTACAGAGAGTTTATCCTGTAGCCTTAGAAATCTGACCACAACGGGTCGGGGGATCAAAACGTCAGACTCCATGCAACATTTTTCAAACCTACGGCCGGTGCTGCCCTGCACCTGTAGACTGACTCTCATGTCAAATGGAGCACTTCCCCTTATATTATCATAACAACAGGCCTTCTTTTGGCTGCCATCGGCATTCAGTCGGACTGTGACAGCACACTGAATCACTAATGACCCAACAACCAGCTCGGATCATGCTTTTGTTGCTGGTGACACAAACACACACACACTGCAGTGTTGCCTGTATCCAGTCAGTGAGCCTTTGACACAGTGTGTGTTTTGGTTGGCAGTGCAGTTTGCATATTAAGCACAGTGTGGCCCGCAGTCAAAGTGTCTCTCAGTTCATAAACGCACGTGGCGATCAATGTCGCTCTCATTCGCCGACTAACGTATCTGAGCGTCAGGCTGCGCGGCGCCCGCCTCTCGGCCACAGCAGCACATCTGCTGTTGTGCCACCAGTCGAGCCTCCGAGCCAGAGGATTTCCGCCGCTGTCTGCCGTGTGTGAATGTGAGGTTGGGATGGGAAGGGGAGGGAGAAAGGGCGGTCGGTGTTAGGATTTCTCCTCTTCCTCCCCGCAGTTTGGACTTCCTGCCTCAGTGACTCAACCACGGTGCCCCACTAGGAGCGCGGAAGATGCCTTTGTTTTTTAGTTAAAAAGCACACTTTTAAGAACCTTGTTAAAAGCATTTGTTTCCTTCAATATGTGACGAGGCTGTTAAATGATTTCTATAAAGTACAAATAGCACTGAACATTGAACAAAAAGGGCTCACTTGCTTAAAGGGGAGGTGTCTGTGTATTCAAGGTCCAGGCTGTAGAAATACACATAACTGTGTTCTCATTAGTGTATAATGTCTGATGTGAGGAATTGTAGTAGAACGGACAAAACTAACCTTGGCTCATGTCAATCTTCTAGACCAACTCTTACATACATACATACAGTGCATCTGGAAAGTATTCACAGCGCTTCACTTTTTCCACATTGTGTTATGTTACAGCCTTATTCCAAAATGGATTAAATTATTTCTTCTACACACAACAAACCATAATGACAAAGTGAAAATTTTTGCAAATCTGTTAAAAATAAAGAACGAAAACATAACATGTACATAAGTATCTACAGCCTTTGCCACGACACTCAAAATGTATCCTGTTTCCACTGATGATCCTTGAGATGTTTCTACAACTGGATTGGAGTCCACCTGTGCTAAATTCAGTTGGTTGGACATGATTGAGAAAGGCACACACCTGTCTATATAAGGTATCACAGTATGACAGTGCATATCAGAGCATAAACCAAGCCATGAAGTCCAAGGAATTATCTGTAGACCTCCGAGAAAGAATTGTATCGAGGCACAGATCTAGCGAAGGGTACAGAAAGATTACTTTCTGATACTTTCCGGATGCACTGTATTATATGTATTGCCCAAAATCTGAAGCTATTCATCACAGTGGCTTCAGAGGAATAAGATTCTGTTGTCTGTGGATCCTGTAAACTTTAATTGAGATCTGGCATCTGTTAGAGGTAGTTAGAACAACGGAAACAAAACATCGCAGCTATATGCAAAGTTATTATATCTATGTTCTATTGTCTTCTGTTTGCTAACGTGGACAACAGTGCAGATCCACCACGAGGAGTAAACCTAGAGATTCGCCGTTAGCTGCAGTACAGTAGGAGATTTACCGTAAAGCTCTTGGGGGTGGAATATCTTTTAAAACACATCAAACATAGAGCTCTAAAAACGTTATTTGTAGGCCGTGCAGGCTGAAATGTCCCCATTGAGTTAAAAATACCTCCTTTATAATGTTATGGTATGTGAGGGTTTACAGCTTTATCGCTGACCCCTTTTACCCCAAAAGATTCATGTAGGTGTAAATACTGTGTACACGTCTTCCATTTCAGAGAGCTAAATATATGTTGGTTCATTATCCCCCGCATCCGTTTAACGACATACGCTGATGGAGAGCAACACGGGTTATTGAACACTGTGCAAATGATCTTTAGCACCATTTACTTGTCAGCTACATGAAGGAAACCTCTTCCAGCGTGTTTCATTCCATTTGGTGTTTGATGTCATGCATGAAAAAAGACATTTCATTGGCAGTTAGAGAGTCAGTCTTAAACTAGAATATGTTGTGTGTCCATTACCCCTTCATGTTTTGATATTTGATATTCTCCTGTCTCTAATGCCATCGAAGGCATCACCACTGTTCTGACCATGACGACACTCAGCATCAGCGCCCGCCACTCCCTCCCCAAGGTCTCCTACGCCACCGCCATGGACTGGTTCATCGCCGTCTGCTTCGCCTTTGTCTTCTCCGCGCTCATTGAGTTTGCCGCCGTGAACTACTTTACCAACGCGCAGATGGAGCGCGCCAAGAGGAAGCCGGCCAGATGTCCCCCGGTGCCCCAAACCACACCTGTCAAGGTCAAGGACACGCAAGAAGCGCTGCAGGTGAATGTTGGCTTCCCTCAAAGTTGCCGTGGCGAATAGTCTGATAGCACTCCAATAACAGCGCGTCCCGTTTTATGTGCCTACGGCCTCTGGCCTTTAGCCCAGACTTTTGAGCGACCTCGAGTGGGCCTGCCTGAGGACCGTCGGCTGCGCTCTTGCTCATGAGAGCAGAGAAGATTTGAGCTGTGGAAGCAGGACAAGTCTGATCCCCACAACCTGTATCTCATAATTTTTTAGAACTGCAAATCGGAACATAGTTTATTTCAGTCCTACACATGGTCATAGTGGTGCTTTCTCCACCCACAGTGATGTTTGATTATGTGGAAAATTGCTACAATTTCTCTGGGACAATTTCTCCAGTGTTGTTCGAAAAGGTCAGAACATGAATTCCGTCCACCCGATTACACGTGTGATTGGTCTGTCTGCCGCAGGGTGAGCGTTGCCCAAAACAATAAACAAAACAGTCTTTATTAAAATCTCACTTACCTAACCCGCCCAACAAAACAAAAGAAAAGTACAAGAAACAACTCCCTAAGCGTTTTTTTCACATTTCCATTGTCGACTCCTCACCGCGCACGGCAGTGTGACAGAGACGCGAGACTACCCCCCCATCTTCTGACAAGTACGACAAGTGCTCCTCTACCTCTTCTACCTAATTCTCTAGCGGCAGACACGGAATCGACAACAGTGGCTCACACAGTCTGTTCCCCTCTGGGCTGTATGTGGGTGACACCACAGTCTCCACAGGACATACACCTGACCCTTGGACTGCAGATGGCATGTCGGAGTTATCACAGGAAAAATAGAATTTTGGCATGTTGACATGGCACACTCAATGTTTGCTTTCTAACCCTCATTTTGAAATTCCACGTCACTACATTGCCATAATCTCCTATTTCTGGACCAAGTTAAAACAAATCACATTAACAGCATAGCAGTTGACACATGGATTGGATCAGAATTCATGAATATTACGCGGCGCCATTTTAAAGCTCCCAGTCAGATATAATGAACGTGTTACAAATCAACTGCAGCAAAGTATATGTTGCTACACTAACTCTGTTTTGACACATATGGATGTGAAAAGAAAAGGGAGAAGGGCACATTTCTTAGACTTCATGTTCCTCCAAAGAGCCAACACAGAATATATAGACCTACTGTTCGCCAATCATAGGAGCTGACATAACCCGGCAATGCATGTCAGTTTTAAACCCACTACTTTAAGTTGCCCCCCTCTAGTTCAAAGCCCAGTGCGCCGTTATCAGGCCCCAATGCGGTATTCTGACAAGAGCCCTTCAGTGGATTAGGAGGTTGCCACGGCAACACAGCCGGGGGCATCTGTATAGGTTTCAGAAGGGCTCTGGGGGAAAGAATTAACACTCTTTTCCTCGAGAGCAGGTCCTGTTGGCTCTAATCAAAGGGCTCGGCATGAGGGCCCTTGATAAGGCCGCAGATTGACGGGTCCAGGCCCGTAGCCCTTGACCTCCACTGTAAGCATACTCATACACACACATACATGTACACACATCACTTGACATAATAACACCCTTTCAGCTTCAGCGGAGGGGGTGGGTGGGGCGTGATAATTCCTGTAAACGCTTCAGAACCAACATCAACTCTGGAAGGATAAGCTCCTTTCACATCACCTCCCTGTGCAGTGCCACCTACTTTCTGTCCTAAGCTTGTGTGGAATGAGTGAAGGCCAAGGGCTGATTCCAGATGAAGGCCAACTGGGTCAGGGGCACCGTAATCAGATCAATGTGACGAGGTTCACGTCTCCTGCTCTGCTTTTTAATAGAGGGGAGGAAGTGAATATGTACAGTACCTCGACGACAAAACGCTTGAAAACACGAGGCAGACGGGAGGAATGTGATTTGTCACACAATTAATCCTCATTAACAGTTTCCTTCCCCAAGTCTTGCTCCACATCAGCAAATCAGACCAAAACTTTCATTTGAAATTAATATCATCATCATCAGTTTGTTAAAGGCGTTGGTCATATATTTTTCTTTTTATTTGATCATGATATAAAGGCTTTCCAAACACACTTCAGCCCATGAAGTGACTCTTGAACTTGAAATTCAGCACTTGTCAGGTCGGCAGTGCTTTGTGAATATGTGGACATAAAGCAGAGTCTGAGTGACGCTCAGACATGGTTCTAAAATTGATGTCATGAACAATGTCTATTTTTTTTAAACATGACATGAACACCAATTGACAATGATAATTATTTGGTTATTAAAGAAATGTGATTAAGATTAGTGGGACATCTTATGAAAACCAAAAGTTACCAAACTGTTTCTAAAAGACTGTATCAATGTCAATGCTGTAAAGTTACAATGCACTAATATCGTCCCCTCTCCCCTTAGTTACTGTTACTATGCTTGCTTACTTTTAAACAATGTGTCATTGATGGGTCAAACTAAGAACTGGAGAGGGCTGCCAAAGTTAGGTTCAACTGAAGCTCACTGTAATACAAAGCCACGCTAATGTTAGAGAGAACTAACTTTGTCATTCTTCACATGTTCACTCTTGCTCTTTTAGTTTTGGGAAGGTCAAAAAAGACACCTAATTTACACATACTTAGTATTCTAATTAGCTCCGTCCCATGCACTACCTAGGTCCAAAGCTGCACAGCAGAGTTTTTGCGAAGGGCTGAAGCCAGCATGTACCAATACCAACACAGCTGTTATTAAAGCAATAAGGTACGAGAGGCTGTACTTTATTGTAATTGTAACAGTTCGGGGGCGTTATTAGGCCGGCAACCCTCGAACAGTTACATTATTGAAGATAAAGTACAGCCTCTCGTACCTTATTGCTTTTATAATACGGTTACCAGTGAAATTACAATTACCCAAAACGCTGTGTATCTCATTTCAGTAGTTGTAGAGAAAATAGTCCCCGTACGTGCACGTAAACAGCATCAGGTCACGCACCATCTCATTCATTCACATCGCTGATGCCGTCCACCTTAATTGTCTGGTTGCAAAAGCTTGCATTGCCTGAAACCGATCATTTGTGGGATTTCTGGGGGGGTTTCGACGTTCGCCACCGAGCTAAAAGCTAAAATGTCAACTAATGGTCGCACAAAAGCTAACCTGTTACTTTGAGTGCGCAGTGATATGGAACGATCGGGTCAATGTGAACAGCAACTGTACATTATCGCGCAATAATGTGCTCCCCGTGTCTCACTCTCAACCACTTACAACGCTGGATTTCATCTACCCGTATTATAATAGATAATATTGGCAGGTGGATTTATTGTTCAGGTTCTACTGTGGAATATGAGCAGGAGCGGGGTTGCACCAACTGGTCATTACTAAGCTTGGTGCTAACTGCTAAATTGGTCTTTGTTAAGACCAGTCTTTAGAATGGACTTGCTGTCACCAAGCAAGCGTAGTAGTTAAGTATAGTCTTAACTATTCCCAGTTTCATCTGTGAACCGTCACTTTTACTTCAGCATACTACCTGCAAAATGCATAGAACATTCTGTTCAAATCTTTTGCAAAATAATCCACATTATTGGCGCGGATAGAACAATTTGAATGTGTAAAGGCCTACAGACTTAACTTTATCAATACTGTTTTTACTCCCTGTCTCAGCAGAATCCCGACAGCAACGGTAACCTGAGAAAGCGCATGAAGTACATCTCCCATCTTGAGGCCAGCAGTCACCAGAGAGCCATGTCAACCACCAACATTTCGGGCGTTGGCCGAGCGAGAGCGCTGCAAAGTTTGGCCGGCGGGGTCAACGGCAGCTCCTCCACCCTCTCGCGCTCCAGCCCCAAGTCCGAGAGCCTGCTTAGCGTGGCCTCTTCTTCTGCCCAGCTGGTGAAGGCCGCGCCCCAGGCCACGGCATCCACACCGGACGTGATGGCGGCCACGCCGTGCAAGCAGAACGCCAGCTCCTCGTCCCTGCAGCATCTGCTGGGGCCCAAGCTGGAGCGCATCCAGTTGATGGGGAACAAGCTGGAGCCAAAGCAGACGCCGTGCTCCCAGCCCACGACCGCCGGCATGGGTGGAACAAGCAAAATTGACAAGTACGCAAGGATCCTATTCCCAGTGTCCTTTGGTGCGTTTAACATGGTCTACTGGGTGGTTTACCTGTCAAGGGAAACCATGCTGGCTAAAGGGGGCTAGACTCTGCTCCGGACAACAAGCGTAAAGACTCTTTCTTTCAACAGAAAACCAGGATTATGGAAGTTTGCAAACAATTAGAGGAAAGCTGTTTGCCGAGCACTTCCATATCCAGGAGAACACATTCATTTTATTCTTCCTAAGATCCTTGAAACAGCAAGTATCGGAGCAAATCAACCAAATTAGAAATAATTGACTGAACATAAGGAAGAACAGCTGCAAACTGGATGCAACGGTCCTCCTTATATCGTGCTGCGTTTGACTGTTAAAAGGTCTGCATTGGCTTCAACTGCCTCATGATCTCTTTTGGCCTGCAGTCAAGATAAAGCTTGGGAATTTTTCATTTTCCTATTTTTGTACCCTGCAGCTGGTGAGATGTTCAGATGCGTTCACCGCCTCCCCGGAATAAACTGCACCAACGCCATGTATTATGTGATAAAACATTCATATTTAATGATGACGGTGACCATTTCAATATTAAGACAGGTTGCTTCTGGTGCAAGCAGGCTCGATGATGCAAAGTTAAATTGTTTGAAACAACAAAGGGTTGGTGCATTTGATTTTCTTGGATTTTCCATTGAAATCCTGAATGCAGGCCAAATGACTGTCAAAAATGGATTAAATACTTTGTAGATAGTGAAATATCAAAGATGAAATTCTGGATGACTTGAGTTGGAGGTAGAAAAAGCCAGTGATTGTTCTAAGCTTCTTTCCGGCTACAATAGTTTGCCATAACGTCGTGAATAAAGAGGAAAGGGGAGCAACACTATCAGTTACAAGATCACTGCAGCAATAAAGCGGTGAGTCCGCTGCTTGTTAAGTGGCCATGTTGGCGTGTCAAATGAAGGAACATGACTGAACTGTTCATCAGCTGCTCCACCAGGGTGGAGACTCAGGAGCTGACTGCTGTCTTGCCCCTCCTAGATTGTGTCTCACAGATGTCAACTGCTTTAGGTTTAACGGACAGTAGATATTTCACTGCATCCTGAAGTTTATGGAGCAGAGGCCAGGCATGTAGTTTGAATATTATTATTATAAAGCTGAAGTGGAACCCCATCACAAACACATGTTTGAGATGAGCGAAGCCAGTTTTTTTTCTTTTAAAGCCCAAAGTAGGACAGCCGCCTTGGAGAAAATCCCCTATAAAAGAGTGCATACCTGCCACATGTGAAAGACATAACTGGAAAATATTTTGCTGAGAGTTAGTATATGAGAACACAAATACTTAAAATATAAAATATATATATACATACATATGTCTACACTAAATATAAGGCACACTGGATATGGGGTAATCAATAGCCTGGCTTTATGATATCCAGAGAAATGATGGCCAGAAAACAACAACTGAGTAAAGATATAGTGGCGTTATGTCTATGTGAGTAGCTAATAAAGTCGATGTGCCTCAGGTGTGTTGTTGGTTTCAAACTTGACCAGGCCGGCAGCGCACCGCTTTTAGTGCACGTGCGAGCATGTTGGCGTGTTAGTGGCGCTGGCTCGCTCATATGGCGGTCCCGCCTGCAGCACTGTAGCACTCGCCCTCCAGTTCGCTCTCCTCATGCAGTTTCTGCCGGAGTTTGCGTTGTTAGCACCATTAGCCTGAGCTAGTAGGTCAGCGGCGGCCATGTTGAGCGCCCTTAAGAGGAAATAGAAATGCTCCGGTGCTCTTAATTAGCATGTTTTCAAGTTAAATGAACTTCTCTAATTTGATTCTAAGTCAGCTATCAGAAGTTTCAATTTGTTTACAGTCAAAGTACACTAACTGTCTGCTTGCTGTAACGTTAGCTTCATTTTTAGCATTGAGACGGATGTTCTAATATAGCGCTCAACAAAAAAAGCAATGAAACCCATTCACAATGTAAAATTTTTCTTTCTCCCAACTTGATTTTTTTCCAAAATTCCGTTGATTTCTGTGGGGACAAAAAACGGCACATTTCTACCCTCTGCATAGTATTAGCCCAGATAACAGTCACCGAAAATAGCCTCCAGTGTGGTCAGGACCGTGGGCATTCTCGCCCGCCGCTGACTTTCATCGATGAAGGAGACGGCTGATAATTGAATCTTTGAATATGTGAAGGACGTTATTATCTAAATATCCCTAATGTGTCGTCAGCTATATTGTCCTCCTGCTGTCCCCTGTCACTGTTCTGTCACTGACCGGGAGAGGTGAAGCAGAGGGTGAATTGTCATTGAGAACCTTTGTCTGAATAAATAACCGGTCCCCTCAATTAATCTCTTTCCTTCACTTATCAACAACAGAACTTTAGAAAACATTAGAAGATAATTAACAATATATTAATCACCAGCATATATATATTCCCCACAAATATTATATTTCCTCATGGCCCTAGTTTATTATTCCTCGGTGACTGTTTTTGTAAGCTGAAGGTTAAACAGCCTGTGTATGAGCTCAGCTCCGCTGCACACCGGCAGAGAGAGACGCCTGGTTGCCTGTTTTCTGGCCACATGGTCACGGTTGTTGGCCGTCGTCGGTCGGTTAGTCCAACAGGAGTTATGACGTGGGGACAGACGCGTGGGGCCGGTGGACAGATCAAGATGACCGCCGCCACTCACCTCTGCCAAACGCAGTTGTGTTTGAAATTGATCTTTGCCATTATTGCCTCCCTGTTGCCCCCCCCGCCCACCATCCCTCTCTCTGTCTCTCACAAAATGTGCACCAAATGTATCTGCTGGTTAAAGAACACCCATGTACCAATGAGGAGCCTGTCAACCACAGATGGATGTTTTTGTGGTGTGACTCTGCTGTTCGAAACGCGTCCATGATTGATGGAGCTGCTGACGCCAGGTTGTTCAGTTTTCTCTCTCTCTCTCTCTCTCTCTCTCTCTGCCTTCTGATGAACATGCTGTTCGAGATGACAGACAGACGATGCTCCACACGCTCACGCTTGCCATTTTGAAAGGATGACATGCTTCAGGTTTATGGGTCAGTCCAATCACAACCTGAGCCAGAGCTCTCAATTAATCTCTGTTTTTTTAGTTTCTTAGTTCAAATAAGCTTTTTTTGCTGTTTATTACAACAACAAAAAAATCCAAAGCCACACAGTGCAGCTGGCTGGGTAAAATGAGGCATTCATTGTGCCGTACCACTTTTGAATTAAATCGTGGCTTAACGCTCCCTCTAGTGGTCCGTCTGACCTCCTTCTTGTTTTCAACACCGTGCTGGTGGAGGACGGGCTCTTTAGAAACCATTGAATGCCGCTGTAGGGAGAGATTTCCATCTTTCTGCTAGTCGGGTATATTAATAGTCTTGGAATGGGATTTTAATTCAAGCATTGTCTCGTCTTGTATTGCTGACTGACCAGCACAACCGTTCTGCGTTGCGCATTCCTCATGACTGGGTCCACTGAAAAGACACTGGAGCAAAGCTAAAGCCGAGAATGGAAGGCATCCAACTACCCCCTGATCCCGTCTACTTCATCTATTCACACTTTCAAAGGTGTACTCACAATGTCAAAACGATACAGTGGAAAAAACTTTTCAGTTCAGTATTTTCTTCCAATTTTTAACTGGAGGTTCAAAAGTGTCTCTCTTTGTTTAAATTGTGTGTTTCCTGCGGACAGAGCAATTATATAGTTATATTTTGAAAAGTCTGTAATTTACAGACAATATACTGAAGGGGAGGTCTATCTGATTCACATTGTTTAATATATAAAGCTGCAGTTTATCCTTGTAACAGTGACTTTGAACCCTGAGTATTTGTATAAGTTAGAGCTGTGACATTAAGGCAGTGCCATAATATACGTCTAGAAGGCCATAAACTCTCAAATCCAGTCAGTAGTATGAATCCAATAATATCAGAAATCTAAATCAACTTAACAAGCTAATAATAAAAGTGTATTTTTTAAATTTTGGTAGAGCTTGAGAATATATGACAGTATCAACCTGACTTATTAAACATACATTTAAACTGAGTGTGACTTCTGTTCTCAATGGCCGATGCCTGATGGAACGATATGAGCACTGATCTCGGAGCAGAAGGGCCTGTATGTCGGTTGAGTCCCCCAATGGCATCGCACAGGACAGAGAGCCCTTTGGTTCTAACGTCCCGATGGAGGTGAACCACTAGAGGAAGCAACTTTCTATGTTTTTTCTCCTCAATCCAAACGATCACAATCAAATGGCTCTCAATAAATTCATACAGTCTTATTTTTCACTTTCGTTAGTGCCCATTTTCAGATTTTAAAGCCGAAGATCTATACTGGTTTTATTGCTTTAAACTCGAGTTCAGGCAGTGGGGGGACGCACGGCCTCCAGCTAAATGAGGAAGGATTTCATTTCAAAAGCCGCTCTCAAGAGATTAGCTCAGTAACAATGTAGGTCTACCCTCCATATTATTATTCTCATCACTCATTTGTCTTCATAAATGACGAACCCTTCAGGCAAAATCTCTGCCACTTGGGGGCGTTGATGGGGGTAGGGGAGGGGTCACTTATGAGTATCTGAGCATTTCTGGGCTGAACACAGAAGCTGTAGACAAGGCCACTGACAGAAATTGGCTTCAGATTTATTCCCAAATGTGATCATATTTTAATGTGTACTGTATCGTGGTGTGGACTCAGTGTCTATGACCAAATGGGAGTTTCTCCAACTTGTTTTTTTAAGAGACACACCGTAGTGTATGATCATATGTTTTGCTTACAGATCGTCAATGAAAGTTTCGCCCATGTTTCCGTCCTATTTAAAATGTCAACTTTTGTTTCCGATGCCATATGTTACAATGTGAAAATCTTTCAATTCACTGTCTTTTTAGGAAATTATTTATACGCTGTTTGCGTGTTTAAAAGGTTAAATGTGCAAAAAGCCCTCGCTTGACCCAGTTATGGAAATGTCCCGGGTAGTTAATGGAATAATACATCATAATTTAAATTACAGTCATCGCCTTATTTCTGTTGGTGTGTATTTCCACCGGCGAAATGGAAGAATAATTTCTGGAGTTGTGATCGTGACAAAACCCTGAATAGTCATACTCAATAATAGGAACACCAACTCCAGCTATATTCAGAGTATTAAAGAAGCCACTCCATGACAGCTATAGTAAAAACAAAAGCATAGGACACCACGTACAGTGTGCACACAACCTTAAATTGCTCCCTGACTGAAAGTAAAGCTGCACCAAAGGACCCACAATGCTTTTTCATTATGTAAGGATTTAAGATAAAGACTTCCAATAATAATCAAACAGTGACGGACCCTCGAGTTGCGGTAATATTTGAACAACAGTGCTGAGCTTTGAAGACACTACTTTGCCGGTGATTGTCTGCAACATTGCCTGAAACAAATGGACTGGAAATGAAAATGATGTGAATGTTGTATAGTCAGTATTGATGCCACGTTGAATTCCTCTAACAAGTGAAAATAAACCACGTTAATCGTTAAAAGTCGTTAGTTTATAGACCAATTTTAGTCATTATCCAATGCACTGTTTTCATGAAACACAATTAAACATGTTAGACAAATCCTAGCTTCAGGTTGTAACTTCATTGTGCGCTTTGTAACAGGAGACACGGCCCAAACTGTTTGTGTCCACCAAAGAGCTCCAATGTACATTTAGGTTGTGTTCCAGAAGCTCATTTCCCCCCCTGACATTCTGTGTCATCACAGAAAGCAGCAAACATGCAAAAACTTTACAGCAAACATAAATACTAGCATTAGTGTCCACTGCTCATTCCCCCATTCATTTGTTATTTTACCTTGAAATGTTGTTTGTAATACTGCTAACTCAAGGAATTGCATATGTCAGCCAATAAAATTATCTAGTTAACAAGTCTGCATTGCACTGGTTCCCTCAACGTGAAGTGATTGGCATTTTTCGAGAAAATGACTCATGTCAAAATCATCTTTTTGAAAAACTTAATTTCCACAGAGCTCGATTTCGGCAATGATTTAAATAATCTAAATATCCTATAATATAATATCTAATTTGAAGATTCCAATTGTTTTTTATCAAGGGGACCATTGTAATGCTAAGCTGACACCTGATACATGGGCATATTAACATATAAATTGTTAATATCATCAAATTAGTGACCAAGTTGACAGAAACACGGCACCTTAATCCCTGCTAGATAGAAATCTCCAGCGAGCTTGTGCAACCCAAAGGGTGTCAGCAGCAGAGGAGCCATGCCATCTGTAACTGTGCCAGCGATGATGCTGAGACAGCTGGAAGCTCTGTGTCATGATATATGGATTACATTAAACTGTTTGTGGGCCAAGAACTATATTCAGATAGCGAAAAAATGCATGCATATGCAAGGCATATATTCTATCATTAGTGGGGCTACATGTGTAAAATGTCGCTTCCCCTACAGCTGACATGGTGGTCGTCGTGGCGCAGGGGGTAGAGAACCACAAGGTTGGTGGTTCAAGTCCCGTGCTGCCCCATGTCTCATGTCGAAGTGTCCCTGAGCAAGACACCTAACCCCTAATTGCTCCCCGGGCAAAATGTAAGAGCTAAATCAGCTAAATCACCTGTGCTGTAATGTAAAATGGCTTCTTACCGTTTGGAGGTGATTTACCCCTTGCTTAGAGATTTATTAAAGATAAATTGGATCCCAATAGAGATAACTAGACACTAGAAAATATAAGAGTGGATGACAGAGCCGGCAGACGAGCCAAAACTAAGGGCCTCTCCCTTGCCTTCCCTGTGAGCGTGGAAAACAGCAGCTGCTAGGTTAGCGTGCCAGTTTTGTCTCACATCTGATAACATGTGAGGCCGTCGACTGCTGTTGGCATCCTGCCGTTAAAAACAGAGAAATAAACATCATGATGACAAACCTGGCTTTAATGTCTGTCTCTGAACAAATGGCTGTGCTGTTTATAGGGCTACTTAAAGGGCCAGTGCATGTCAGACCCCACAAGGAGATCATGTCTACATAATGTCTGATGTAGACAATTCAACCGGCACTTAACAATACTGTATGTTGGTAATAGACCTCATGCAATGTGAATTAAAAACGGATTCCGAATTTTACCGCAAATCTAGAGAGAATTTGAGCTCAGTTAACTCTGACTGCTCTGAATTAACTTCTGGCAGCTGTTTTGGGGGGAAATGACAAAGTGATAGATTTTCCCTGTACGCTACCAGCTCAGCACTAAACCACAGACCGATGGGAAAATAACTGGTGAACACGGTGGAGCGTGAAACTCATTTAAGAACAAGATACTTGTCTGTGAAAACCCAAAACAGAGAAAAAAGATTGTTGTGAATATTGCGTGTACATTGCAAATGTTTTTTTTCTGGTCTCCCTCAATAAGCAACATTCATGCATCATACACCAGCAACAACTTTACAAAACAAAATATCTAGACATAAAGCTTGTTTGTTTTCCAGCCAAGAGGACAACACATCATTTCTTGCTGCTATAACCATCCATTTAACAACATAAAGTATAAAATGTGCGAAAATGTTTTCATTGCATTTCTAATGATCTTTTTTGAAAATCCCAGTACGTTTGTACGGTTGAATAGTTTTAGATGGAAGAACATTTCTGTTTTTATTTTTATTAAATGGCCTTTTTAGTTTATAGGTAGTATTAGTATGAACATATTTGTAATTTGAAACAAAGTGATTTTCACAGAAGCTCACATGCATAGTGAGATACAGGTGCAGATGGTGTCCCTTGCGCCACAGGTGTTTTATATATATATTGTGGCCTAATGCAGCGTCTCTCCCGACGTGGCTGACACAAAAGATTAATTGATGACCTATACTGATCTCCTTCAGCAAAAATCCTAAAGATTATTCAATTCAATTTAAGATGTTCAGCATCTAAATACATGTATTCCCTGTGATTTACTGCCCTCACTCATTCAAAAGCTAAAAACTTGATGAAAGCTTGATTAAACCTTCTGTGCCATCTAGTGGCTTGCAACAGGAAATGTATAGTCAATATCAGCCGAACTACGTTGCTTATTTCTTTACTATTATTACTCTTAATGATGGTTATCACCATATAGAATGGTTAGGCGCTGTATGATCAGTAAATGTTGAAGAATTCATACTCGTGGCAGTGCTGCCAAAAAGGTTGCAACTTTTACAAAATCAATTGCGATACATATAACTGTTAATATATATCCAAGAAAAGTAACATTTCATATTTGCAATTATGTTAATGCCAAAGCCTAGCTCTTTTATTTTAGATTACTTAAAAGTGATTAAATTAAAAGTGTAATGAGGACATTGAAATACATCTGAATAAGCCTGTGAAATATCCAGTGTACGTTTTTAAAGCTATAACCACCCCAGGTAACTGAAATCTGGATTGTGCGATTGGTTGAGTATGTGAAAGCCTCTGTGGGCGACTGAGTGAGGATTCTCCCTTGTGTCTGTCCACGGCTGAAACGAACCAACCAGTATTTTGGGTGGCCAGTAATGGCCGCCAGGACTTGTGGTGGTGGTAGTTCCCGCCCATTGGGGACTTGGGGTGTTAGCCAATCACAGGTTGGGCTCATTCAGTCTCACAATACAGCCGTGGTCGTTGCAGGAACACCTGGCAGAGATCTGCACTCCACTGAGTGCAACAATCCGGTTGCTGGTGCTTCAAAAATCAGAAGAACAAAAAGAGACGTAGACACAGAGACGTACCCTTCAAAAGATCAACTGGGTGCATTGATATTCTTGTGAGGTGGGGCTACTCCCTCCAAACAACATGAGCGTTGCACTGTTTTAATGACATATCGAATGTTCCAGATTCAAAAGCAAAGTCATTTTCTGTCTCTCTCCCTCTATTCTGGTGCTGAGCTGTACACATGGCACGTTACATTGAGCCTTGGATGAAAAGGGAATTATTGCATAAACTCTGCAGCTGAAGATGGCAGATGCAATATGACCAGCAAAACACAGAGGACTGTCGAATTGCTCTTGCTTTAGTTTCCTTGGTAACCTGAGGGAAATTAGCAACAGTGTGTGCAGAATTCTGCGGCTGTATAAATAGCATCGGCGAGGTCAGGAAAGCAACCTTTCCATTTTTATGAGATAAATGTGCCTGTGATTCATCTGTGAAGTGTTATAACATAAAAGAAGGGGTAGAAAAAAAATGGAATGCTGAGATATAGCGTCAGCATTTTTTTTAGCAGTGAGCTCATCTGGCAGCCGAAGACATGAACTCTAAGTGAACTTTTATTTGTCTCCGTCTGCTCTGCTCTGTCAATCAGACACTCGAGTATGTTCAGGCTTTTTAATTCCTGCTGTTTGTGGTTTGCTTTTGGTGTCTGTTTATGCTAAATACCCAGTCAATTATTCAATGACACGCCACAGCTCGCTCATTTTAAGGCTGTCTTCACAGAGGTCTGCAGTATATCTATTAACAGATATCTACAGTATTCATCCAGTTTGTTCAACTGTCAGGTGTAATTTCTGAAATAGCAATGAAAGACGAAATCCATTTTCTGCAGGTGGATTTAAAAACACAAGTTGTTTGAAAGATTTAGAGCATAAACTCATGTTTACCGTGTTTACTGAGGGGATGAATTAAGGATCAACAGGAGTAAAGTCCTTTTCTCACAGGCATTTAATCTGACATCTTTTACAGCTGGAGGAGACTGACGGCCATTAGACAGGATGCAACTTTAAGGCCCTTTAGCATTCGCTTCACTCGTTCAGAACCAACAGCTTTGTCATTAGTTGAAAATAAAATACATTTAAAAAGGATTAAGACATGTTGATATATACTTTATGCTGAGTTTGTTTCAAGGGGGAAACAAACAGTTGCAAGCACAAAGGTTCATTTTACTTCTGCTAGGAGGGGAGCTATGTTCCAGTCTGGTTCCATATTAAGGAGTGTTTGTGTCTGGGTGCTTATTCGCTATACGTGTATTTAGCAGAAGGATTGAGAGGGTGATCTATCACTTTAAGAGTGTCAGAGCTCCTTGACGGGCTCCTCATCTTTTTTTCTCTCACAACGCCGCTCTTGTGCCATGCATGGCTTGTTGCCGAGGTAACCGGCCGGAGACTGGTTTAGCATTTCCAGCAGGGCCTGGTGAATCAACTCATTCTGACATGCAACTGACAACAACACGCTGCCTGACTGGCTCAGGTATTTTCTCCCCCGTACCAAAAATGTCAGCGGAATAAACAACCATTTGGCGCCTCACTCTTTCATCAGCACCGAATCAAAGGCCCCAACGCTTGACCCCCCGTTCGACTGCTCGACGTGGTGACAAAGAAAGCACACCGAGCCGTGTGTGATGACACTGCTTTGGGTTGTAAAGCAGGAGAAGAAAAAAAACATCTGCCGTGGTGATGGAAACGTTTGTGGGTGCCACATGTGTTTGCAGATGAGGGGTTACAGTTACTGTCCTTCTCCAGCAGAGGACACTGTATATGTACGTGTGTGTGTGTGTGTACTTCTGCATGCATGTGAGTCACATCCCCCACATGGCTGTCAAGCATGTCATTCTATTGTTTTTCATTCTCTAACGAGCAAACGTTTGTTTTACAGACAGCTGCAATGGACTAGCAAGGTTTCGTAGCTGTTCTACCAAGGAAAAGGATGCAGTTTGTGTGTTCTTAGATGCACCACAGTACCAGCACACTTTTCTGTTACCTGCTTTTTTTTTTATTGACCGAATCATTATCGAGCTGCCCGCCCCCCCCCCCCCCCCACAGAGGGGGGAGGAAAGAGACAACATAGAAACTCGCGCCGAGTCAAAACGCGACTCTAATTTCCCCCGGGATGTCTACGTGTCTGTCTGGGACTCGCGCGCGGGAAGGAGAGCATTTTTTAAAACCAACAAATGGATCGGGCTGCTAATGATCAAACGCTTGGCATACTTGGACTGCACTATTCATACAGTTGTGGTCAAAAGCGTGCAGACAGTTGTAGAGAACATGCATATCATGGCTGTCTTGAGTTTCCAACACATCTTTGGACCACTTACAACCAGGAGCGACAGTGGAAAAAATGGATTGCGTTTTATTTTAATGAAATATTCACAGCCACCTTTCAAAGTGAAATCCTTTGCTTCCCCTCTTCTACGTGGACCTGATCAATATGCATTGTCACTCGTTGCGCCCTGCTGGGGACTCAGTGAGGCCTGCAGGGCAGCAGGGCTGCGTGTGATGCAAGACCTTGCAATAAACATTGAGCTGTAAGGCGCAAGTGAAAGCCAAGCTTGGTGGGACACCAAAGATGCACACACACGCAAAACGTTGGCGGAATGAAAAAGGAG